AATTGAGGCAGTTCTGAAGGCAAAAGGGGGTCCAACCCGTTACTAGCATGGGGTACCTAATAAAGTGGCCGGTGAGTGTATATGGTCCACATTGAGTGTGGTACACACCATGTCACCAAACAGCATAGTGACTACCTGTAGCCCTATATGTAGGCCCACTGACTGAATACTAGATTGTAGACACCTGATATTCTAATTAATGGACACATTGTTTTCAGAGTTGTCAATGGTTACAATACTTCTTGTCCATGCCTTTTTCATGAGTTTATTTAAAAAATAATTTAATGCAAGCATAGTTGAAAAGCAATGTCTTTATTTGTTCATTTCCGCACAGTTTTGTCTCATCACTTTTGTAACATTCAAGTTTTTTGACACTATTGTGTTTTTTTTTTTTTTCTTTCATTTACCAAAGAGTATCTTCAATTTTGATTACCTTGTATAATGGAAAGCAAAGGTTCTATTGTATTAATAGGGAACAGGAACACCTAGATGTAAAATGTGGAAAGCAGAGGTTGTTCAGTATCTAGGTTTGGACCCACCAGAGGTCAATGATTTTGCTTGATTCTTACTTTTTTTTTTTTTCAAATCATGCTCTCATCTATTCTAGGGATGCACGGACAAGAGTAGAGATCATCCCAGCTGCCCTTGAACAGATAGTCGTCCCATAGCAGAGCAAACACAGAGAAATGCTGAATAAATAGCAATGCAAACACTCCTAAAAATCAAAACCACAACTCCACCTGCTGTAACTAATTTTATAAACAATGTTTCATACGTTACTGATTTAATCTGTCTTTTACACGAAATTTGTTCAGACCATGAAAACTGTAGTTGTTGCATTTAACCCATATTATGAAATAAAGAATAAATAAAATGATCAAAGCAAATGCAAAGTCAATACTTCAAATAAAGATTTTATTTATCTAGGAATGAAAAACTACCAACTGGGCTCAGTGTATAAAAGTACAGTAACTACCCAGTGCCCAATAAATAGTTGTTCCACTCTTGGATTGTACTATCTACAACCTGCAAATTTATCAACATACTGCAGAAGCTCAGTTGAATTTAAGTCTAATTTTATAACTCAGACAGACAGACAATTTTTAAGTGTACAGTATCCCAGTGAGGATACAGAGTACCAAATCCTCCACAACCCAGCCACATAGCTACCTCTCTGGTGACCCAGAGTCCACACCGATCTGCAGTAGCAAAATCCACCTGGCTTTAAGCAGGAAAGCCACCAAACACACAAGACAGGTATCGGCTGACAGATGCTAAAATCAAGAGGGACCAAGGAAGTGGGTGTACGGTATATTCCACCCTGCAGGGCCAGACCTTGTGAGGTTATGAGTGAGGAACACCCATCAAAGTTCATTGCAGGACCTGAAGCCCCCAGCCAGTCCAACGCACCTGCAGGAGCCAAAGGCCACCAGACTGGGCCCACATCTCTTGAATGTTAACCAACACAGACAATGCCACACCAAGGCAAGCCACGCCTGATCCCTCTTTCTTTCAAAGATCTCCAAGTGTCCCTAAACTCTTATTTCTTCTAGCCATGTTTCATAATGCACCTCATCTATGTTCTAATTGACTCACATCGTCTTCCATCTACCTAATAAAGATAACTAACCCGAAAGGATGCTGCTGCCATCACAACATATTGAGATTCTAATTGCTGGGTCAATTTTCCACCAAACAAAGCATTTTTTCATGCAGGTCACTGAATTTAATTTCGTCTGTTTAGTTTGTCCCCAGCATGGCTTTTTGTCAAGCTTAATCAAGGCTTAGAAAAAATCCTCGACTTGTTCATCTTCAGTAAAGGATGGATTTGTGGACTCCCACTGCCACTCCCTCCAAGGTAAACATACATTTCAAGTATGTCTCCAACTAATTATATACTAGCCTCTCAATAGTTTTGCGAGCTACTTAAACAGGCCAGCAAAACATTACGTGTGGAAATATATTATAATCTATATTGATGCTAAACTGTTCAAACACCTATTTAGCAAAAGAGTCTTACCCTGCAGGACATTCAGGACTCTTGATATCTTCACAGCTGTCCTCCAACCATGACGTCTCACCTGAAGGATGTAATAATAGAGTCCTTATCCAGTCTAAAATATGTTTTTAATAAGATTCTTTTTTTTCTAAGCTACAGTAAATGTTTAGGTTGTGTACCTCTGCAGGTGGATTTGTAGTTAGAACAGCAGTCTCCTTTCTCAAGGCAGTCATCTGAACAGTGGCAGGCATGGTCGTCATTCCTGGTCTCCCCGCAGCGTTCACGTGAACACTGAAACCCCCCAGCTAAGAGATAAAAAAATTACCACTGACAAGATTATCTGCTTTTAGCTGCATAAACTCCAAAAGTCATCATAAAGTTATCATGGTTATTTAATGGGAAATTTGACTCAGGTCATTCAAAAGAAAAACAAGCTGTAAAACTCTATTTTTTGTTTGTTTTGTTTTTTTCTTTATTGAAGACAACAAAAACTTCAACTACAGGTTGAACTGTCATTTGAAATCAACATTTAAGCACCTTTACAAGCTACAAACATTCTTGCAAGGCAGAATAAATCCATGTGTTTATGTTGGTTATATCACATTCTGACCTTCCCTTCGGAATATCTGACCTAAAATAAATTCAATTAGAGAATTTATTTCTATTCTGTTATCTGTTTCATTTTCCTAACATGTGCCCCTTTATTTCACTGGTCTTAAGGCTGATTTATACTCAGAATCCAGGTCTTCTGTGCAAATGTGCCACCACCCTTTATGCAGACACTCCGGTGCACCTCTCTAAAATTGTAGGTGACCGCAAACAGTGCCAAAGACAGGAGGTCTCTGATTGGTCAAATCTACATCCGCTCTACATTATGCGTATTTCCTGTTTGGTGCCTTACCTGCTTGTGTTTTTTGTATGACCGCCAATGTGGAAAAACGACTCGTGAAGATAGACCAGCTAGAAGAGCGAGGTGCGCGAGAATGCTGGGACCTTTTTTCTACCTGGATTCCCCCTATTTTTCACCCTCATGTCCCTCTGTTTTTGCACAAACTTGTCCCCACTTCCTCACTACCTCAGCCATGTCTAGACCCAAAGTTACTTCGTCATTGTCACCCTTGCATTGTGGCGTGGAATAACATTGCCCAGACCACGCTTCAATATTGTGCATAAATCAAAAATATTTGCGACAAGCTCTCTGCGACACACTGCTGCGGGAGTATAACCAGCCCTTTAGTCGACAAATCAATCAATATAGCCATGTGCTGCAGTAGCCCTTGAAGTTCAATGTCTTATGTCAGGCATGTCCAAGGTCGGTTCTCAAGGCCGGCTGTCTTGCAGGTTTTAGAGGTTTGCCTGCTTCAGCAGAGCTGATTCTGATGATTGCAGTTCAGCAGAAGCTGTGCTGAAGCAGGGAAACCTCTAAAACTCACAGGACAGCAGCCCTCATGGACCGAATTAAGACTGTAAGTGAAAAACTTTGCCAAAGGAACAAGACGTAAATTTAAAATAATATTAATATGGACTTATTTCAAGTGCATATTATCTTTATAAGTTATTTTAAGAGAGAAAAAAACTCATTCTATTAGCAGATCATCTTATTTATCTACTCAAATTAAGGGTAAATAAATCTAATTTAAGACATTATTTCTAGATTGTTTTTGCAATCTGGGCATAGTCTAAAGCACAGAAATGATTGGATATAGCATATAGCAGTAGATCAACGGATTCACAGCCCATACAGTAGTTGTAACTAATCAAGAGATACATTTATCCAGCTTAGAGACAAATAATAGGAGAAGTGAGTGTAGTGGTGTAATTCTGTGTAATACTGACCTGTTTTCAGGCAGTGAGTATCGAAATCAGAGCAACAGCTGAGGTAAGTTTTACACAGATTGTCACATCTGCATCCTGGAGGATCTGCTTCTTCCAGCTCAAAGCATCTCCCCTTACATGAGCCCGCTTTGCTGTCGTACACTGATACCACTGGAGACATAGAGACCCATAATGAGAAATTACGGCTGCCATCCAAGCAATCTGCAAAGTTGTGTCCTGCGTACAATGTAAACTCTCATTTTGTGCCATTGGATCAAATAAATTTGAATTACTGTTGTTGTTTTTAATCTGAATTTTGTTTTTCTTGAGCAATGAGATAGGCTATTTGGAATAAACCAGTAACATCTGCTCAAAAAGGAAGGGTTAGTAAGATCAACTTATTTGTAGAATTGTAAAACACAAAGTTTGGTTTATTAAATCAGTTAACTTAAGTATATTCGAATGAGATAGAGAAAAAAAAAAAAAATTGTTCTTACATTTCATAAAAGGTGGTGAGCTATCTCCTTCTCCAGATCGTGTGGCTTCAAATATGTGAGCTCTGCTGAGGTCCGTTCCCAAAAGAGAGAATACTAACACTATCTGTAGAAAACACAAACCATTATTTGCTTCGGTCTACTTTCTGTTTTATGGTGCAGCATAACCTGTATGGAAAAACATGATGACCTCTAGCAAATGAGGTCAAAGACAGATTATCTCATCACTCTTTACCTGTTGTTGATCAAAGATGTTGTGTTAAAGAAAAAAGATATAAGACATAATATAAATATAATAGAGAACAATTCTGAGAGCTAAAATTTAAAGCCGTAGCTTTTATGAAAGGATCCAAGTCTGCTGTGGGAGGTGCAGTACCGTCTAAAAGTGGTCGAAGAAAGAGGAAAGTACATTTTTGGAAAGATAATATAGCCTGCAACAAATATAACAGGTTCATAAATGCTTGAAATAGAAAAACAAGTAAGCTGATTTGTTTATTTCAAGCAAATCCTAATTCGCACAAAACAACCAGACAAAGATTGTAGCTCCTGTTCCTAGCCTCCATTTCTTTATCCTTCATGGGGTTAACAGTAACAACTCTTTTGTTGGTCGGATGGGAACTCTTGACCAGTGTTGTTTAAACTCATTCCTTGGACCCTAAACACACATTTATTTAGGTCAGGTGTGTGGGGGCAAAGAAATAACTAAAATATGCAGGAAAATGGGTTCCTAAGACCATGTTTAAAAAACCTGCATGTGTCACACAAAGTATGTATTTTTATTAATTTACTTGAGGTAGGTGTTGCCTATGTGTCCCGTCGTGCAAAAGTGTCTGTATCTTCAAGGCCCTAATAGGAATTTATCAAGGTCCCTGTGCTAAATAAACTACTATCTACTGTATAGGAAGCATCTAGTTTCCTTTCCTTACCTCCTTCCACCTACCATTGTGACTTTGAAACACTTCCACTTTGGTTCAAGAGTACTTAATAATCACATTTTAAAAAGCTGCTAATGCAACCACTTGCATTAAAATACAGTTTATCATTTTTTATACATAATAATCAGTAATTGAAACTAGCAGGCAAGTTGCTTAAGTTCATACTGCAACCAGAGGGTCACCAGTTTGAAATAGAGATTTCCCAGTACAGTTCTTTTTTTCAGGCGATGCCGATTATTTTGACATCAGTCTTATTGTCTCATCATAGCTGCTGCAGATCTTTTTGGGCTGATTGATGAAAATGAGGCAATTTTAATAAACAAGTTTCCATTAAACAAAGAAGAAAGATTTATAACATTATATAATCAAGCAAATTTGTCAAAAATATCAGCAGACCAATATATTGGTTTATCTGTTTCGAACCACTGCCCGGTCCGTCACTCGTTGTGTTGTGCATAATGCTTCCCAAACACTGCCTAATGATGGTGGTCAGTGGTCCCAGGGGAGCCTTTCTACAGCAGCACTACTTCTGTCATTGGGCTCCTGAACAGCTTTGGCTAGAGTGTAGCTTGTCAGCTTCAGAGCGTAAATGAGGGCTTGAGTTGCTGGATGTGTTGTGAAGCACTTTAAGTCCTCTAACTTCAAAATGCAGTCTAGAAGTCCTACAGGCAAATTACCATCCATTATCTAACAAAAAGCAATACTCCTTGTGAGTATTCTCTTTATACTTATTATTTTATAGATACTCTTTAAACTCAAAAATATGAATCATCATTTATAAGACAGAGTTTGTTCCCTTACAGAATAAGATTTGGATTGGAAACAACCACAGAAATCTTTCACACCTCAGGTAACGGTTCCACAGATTTACACAGGTTGGTACTTCCCAAATAGTATTAATGTCAGAATCAAAACCACTGCATTAGAATCATAAATCAGGTCAGCAGGCTATAGCAACATACCAGGAAAACTTCTTCAGCAAGAACCAAAAAACATTAGCAGTGCCATTCAACCCAATTAACAGCCAGTTCAGGCACCAACACACAGATCCATTTACAGATACAGTCATAAAGAAACACAGCTTGAAACAATTTTCTTGTAAAAATGTATTACAGATGCATCTCCAGGAGTTTTCAGCCTAAAATCCACTGGGCAGCAGAGTTTCTTTTATTGAAAACATAACCGTTTTCATCAACTGCTTTTCTTAAAATCCATTGTTCTCAAGCAGTGATGCAACAATGACGGGTTATATTCAGGCTGCTTTAAAGGAATAGTACACCCAAAACATGATTAGCCTTCATTTTCTACTCACCCCCATGCTGAACAACACTCTGGAGTACTTTTTTGATATCTCAAATACATCTGGAGATCTGGGAGGCTTCTTGCTGTCTGCTGACATTCAAATAATGGAGGTCTATGGCGCCCGAGACAGAAAGGTCCATAAAAGTCCACAAAAAACGTGTCAATATTCCTCCATACTGCTCGTCCAATGTATTCCAAGTGTCCTGAGTGGGTAGCGTCCATAATTTACTCGAAACGAAGTCATTTAGAAGGTTTTTAGAGCATAAACAGTAGTGTATAGGATTTCCTAAAAGCGCGTTCACGAGTCTACGGAAACCACGGCAGACCAAACCAGACGAAAGTGCGCATTCAGCTCGGCAAAGAACTCATGCTCTTCCTCAACACTGAAGTCCTCAGACATTTTTCTTTCGTTGTTTCTTTCTTTGCACAGGTAAACAGCACATTTCTTCTTCTACGCTTGCATTATCGGCAGAGCAGACGCTGAATGCGCACTTTCATCTGGTTTGGTCTGCCGCGGTTTCCGTAGACTCGTGAACGCGCTTTTAGGAAATCCTATACACTACTGTTTATGCTCTAAAAACATTCTAAATGACTTTGTTTTGAGTAAATTATGGACGCTACCCACTCAGGACACTTGGAATACATTGGACGAGCAGTATGGAGGAATATTGACACGTTTTTTGTGGACTTTTATGGACCTTTCTGCCTCGGGCACCATAGACCTCCATTATTTGAATGTCAGCAGACAGCAAGAAGCCTCCCAGATCTCCAGATGCATTTGAGATATCAAAAAAATACTCCAGAGTGTTGTTCAGCATGGGGGTGAATAAAAATGAAGGCTAATCATGTTTTGGGTGTACTTTTCCTTTAAGTAGTATTCAGACTGAATAGGGATGATTATGCCCATAGTAAGTTAAAACAAGTTAACAGTGATCCAGGGCTAGTAGGCAACAAAGAAAATCGATCAAGAACATTAGTCTTAAACAGGAATTAGTGAAACAGAAGTGCAGCAGCAAAACATTGAGCATTCCCAGCCTACTGTATGCTGCACTGAGCTCCAGCTTAGATTAGAAACATTTGTTGGATTATCTATCTATTTTGCTCAGCTGATAAGTCCAAGTTCAGCTGTAAAACTGCATTATCTTTTCTTGAACAGAAGCTGCTCTAGGAAAATGTGATAGTTACTGATCTGCCACTTGCAATAAGTTTTATGAACCCCTGCCCTAAATAAATGGTTTTAATATTTTTTCAGCTTTTAAAATAAATATAATGCCGGACGAAAACTGTAGTTATTGTTCACCAGTTATTTATTCTACCGTTTCTTATAAGCAGCACTGTAATGACCACCATGACATAACCAGTATATTATTAATCATTTTAATAGCTATTTCTTTAATATAGAGATATAATTTTACAATCCATAGGTTACTTTAATTTAGTCATTACACTATTTATGCATAAATACCAGCTAACATTTACAGCACAAATATTTGCCTCTGGATATCCTCAGCATGAGTATTCTTCCCAATTATAATTTTTCTGTTTTGATTTCTGAAGTGTATCTCCAGCTCTTGTTGGCCTTCTTGACCTTGACTTTTGGAAGTACTGCTTTAAATGTAAATCTACACAGTGTCATAATTACTGTATAAATAAAAAATAGTGTCTATGCATCAGATAATTCCTCATTCTGATCAATCCTGTGGTACATGGAAACGAGGTCAATGCACAGTCTAACCATTAACCTACAGCTCGTGTTTACCTTTTACTCCCCCAGGTAAACAAATCTCTGTAGTTGTTGGCATTGGGCAACACTGAGGCAATCCGTCACTGTCAAACATCTCAGTTTGAGTCAGCCAACATCAGCCAGTCATCCCTGATCCATAATTTAAACTCATCCTAGAAAGAGTTATATAATTTAGCCTTTCTGTTGAGGCATAGCCTCAAAATGTTGCGTCTTGCGCTGATGAGAGACAAAGAGCGCTTCTCTCAGTTGGCAGGTCGATATGTCAATTCTCCAACAGCGCTATCTCTGTTTTTAGGGGGGTTGAGTAAGGGGGGGAGCTAGGAAAACCTTTGGACATGCAAATGAGAGCTAAGGTACAGCAATCTAACCCAAAACTTGGAGAGTCTTAACATACCAAATTGCCCAGCAGCATCCTGTTCAAAACAGCTGATCCACCTTTGGCATTCCAGAAGATGAAGGAAAGAGAGAAATCCGTGCCCAGCGCAGATAGAGGATCCTCAGTGCGCCTCTGCAGATCGATGGAGCAGAGCGCGGGGGTCCGGCTCTTTCTCTCTCCCCCGTTGTTTGCCTTCGCTCAGCCTCTGCCTCTCTCGGTATTGGGCCAATGAGCATGAAGTAATAGTGACAGCTGCGCTGTGGTACAAGAGTGCGTCAGGTCGGACAGACGCTCCGGAGTCCAACACAGTCAGCAGTACTGAGTTGAGCACATGGAGAGAGGGAAGGAGAGGCACTGAGAGGGAAAGGGACGGTTTGTGTAATCCCTTCTGGATTGCTTTCTGGCTGTAAATGTGGAGTGAGAACAAAGCTTTGACCTTTTGCACAATTTAGATTAAAGGAAAACAATATGGTTTTCATTAATCAAAAAGTTTATGATAACAACTTAGGTTTCCAAGAAGATACAAAAATGAATATTAACATTGTAGTGTAATGTATCAAATAGGTCCTCAAAATATAAACAGATCTTTTTCTCCAGGGTTGAGGGATTAAGGAATGTTAAACATGGCTTTCTTTTGCTGATCTAAGGGATTTTGCAGTTTAGATGTGCTGAAAATCGTCTCTTAT